CCCCCCCCCCCTTTCCTTTCCTTTTCTTTTCCCCTCCCCTCCGGTACCTGCAGCTCTCCGCCCGTGGTCATCTCCGAGTCCGACTCGGTGTCCAACACCTCACCGTCCTCCAGCGGCGCCGCCATCGCTGCAGGCAGTGCCCGGACCCGGAAACTAAACCTCCAGCTCCACACTTCCGGGTCAGAGCCTCTCCCAATTCCCCCCCACCAGCCTTGGGCTGCTCTAGCCCTGACCAGACGGGGGCGCTGCACTGGCTGATTGCAGTGGGCTATAGACATCCTCTCTCTTCATGACAGGAAAGGGACAGATAGAGAGACAATTGGTTTTATATCATAGAATCATATAAGTGTTACAGTGTAGAAGGGGGCTGTTCGGACCATCTCATCTGCATCGGTTCTCCAAATGACGACAGTTACTTAGTGCCAGTCTCTTGCTTTATATCTGTACTCGTGCACATTATTTTCATCCAAATATCATCCATTGCTTATTTTCATCCAAATATCATCCATTGCCCTCTTGAATGCCTTAACTATACTTCCAGGCAGCGCATTCCATAATCTCACTACTCGTTGTGTGAAAATGCTTTTTCACGTCCCTCACTTTTGTATTTTTTGGGCAAATCGCTTTAAACCTATGCCTTCTGTTTCTTGAAGTTCTGAAGAAGAGTAATGCCTGAAATGTTGACTGCTCCTTTCCTCCAGATGCTGCCTGGTCTGCTGTGTTCTTCGAGCCTCCTGTTCGAATACCATGGATTCCAGCTTGTGTGGTTTTTTTGTCGCTCTGTTTCTTGATTCTTCTAACGTCTCTTTATAAATAGTTGTGGCAAACTGGCTGGATCAATGAAGGTGATCAGTTGCTGCAGGCAGGGTCACCAAATAAGAATTACTACAACAAGCATACCTTTTATGATACTTCTAATTTACTAGAAGTGAAAAAAAAACTTCAGACAAAAAGAAATATTATCTCAACGAAGTCAAAACATTGTTACTGATGTCATCCACACATTGTGGTTATTTTTAATTAATCTATTTAGGCATATCATGGCACTTTTCTGGCCTTTTGGCCCGCAGTTAGGGACACTACCACTGTGCCACAAGACTCTCACAAGACATTTTATACTTAGAGCTGCCCACTGTTCATGTTCATCAAGAGCAACCTTAGATACTACATACTCCTGCCACCAGGACCACCTGGACATGGAAAAGACCTTGGAAGAGATGAAGACAGACAGAGTCAATTCCTGCCCATCTACAACATTCTAAAATCCTGCCAGAGATCCTACCAGTCTAAAACCTAGCTATGACTCCAGCTACCTGGGACTTAAATTCAGTAATTTCCTCTGAAATCACTCCACCTCTTTAAATCTCTTTCTTCCTTGAAGCTGCTCCTTAAAATTGACCTCTTTTGGCTTTTGGCTATCCTTTCTAATATCACTTTATGTAACCAAAAATCACATTTTGCCTTGTGCTGCAATATAAATTGTCATGGATGTTTTATTGCATTAAAGGTATAATATAAACATTGACCATATAAAATTGTGGACGGCTTACCTCAACAGCATTAGAAAGATTAATGTTTGGTGCCAATGGACCTGTCTTCTCCAATATGCTCTTTACTGGATCACTGCTGTATCAAAATTAAGTTTGCAAACATGACATGCCTTTAACAGATACAACTTTAATTAACTTGTATATTTTTAATGGCTTACTAATTTTATCTGCATCCCCCTCTCAGTCACATTCCCCTTCATTTGTTCTGCAGTGTCACATTCAGCTGGGAGTCAACAGTGTCAAGAGTTATAATTCTCAAGAATTGAGCTGTCTGAAAATCAAAACCATGAAATTATGAAGAGGGCGCCTTCCATAGATACACTTAAAAGTTTGTGCATTTTCTGTCCAAAGCTAGTCAACAAAAACATTTTATATTGTATTATTGACAAAACAAGATGTCATTTGATCTATAGTTTTCTGCTCTTCCAGTTAAGTTAAATCAATTACTCCTCGAAATTGTTTCAAACATTCCAAACTCAAACCAACTGTCAGATCCAGAACATCATACTTATCGTTACCATTGTCACAACTACGAATGGGACGTCAGCTTCATGAGCAACATATTAACACAGCCTAGAAACTGCTAGTTACAAACAAAGAAAGTTCTGTGTTTCTAAATTGGAGTGGACTTTGTTGCAAAATGTAAAGGGAAGCACATAAACAAGACAGTTCAGGTCAATATGATGACTGTCTTAAGACATCGAGACAGTTGTTATAAAAATATTGCCAACTTATTATTTCTTATCGAAACTGCTTCAATTTCTGCAGTTTACAAATTTACTAATATAATTTCTGTTCTGTTCAATAGATTATATTTATTTTGTGGAGGGTGAATTCAGCTGCTAAATACTCTGAAATGTACTAAATAAGGAATGAACAATTAAAATTTCAGAATGCATTATAGGTTATAAATTGCAGGACAGTCTTGAATGGTGTGACCTGGAAAGGTGCATGGATCCTGATTTATTTTTCAAATTAACATCATTAACAGAAATGTCTAAAGATATTTGCACTTATGTTATGTCATTTATGTTGTGTGGAGAGACACTTAGTGTTGAAGATGTAGAGAGGCTGCAGAAGGTCTTGGACAGGCTAGGAGAGTAGGCATAGAAGTGGCAAATGGAATACAATGTGGGAAAGTATGAGATCATGCACTTTTGTAGGAAGAATAGAGGCATGGACTATTTTCTAAATGGGGAAAGTTTTAGGAAATCCAATGCACAAAGAGACAAAGGAGTCCTAATTGAGGATTCTCTTAAGGTTAACATGCAGGATCAGTTGGCAGTTGGGAAGGCAAATGCAATATTCACATTCAAGAGGGTTAGAATACAAGAACAGAGATTTATTGCCAAGACGGTAAGGCTCTGGTGAGACCACATTTGGAATATTGTGAGCAGTTTTGGGTCCCGTATCTAAGGAAGAATGTGCCGGCCTTGGAGGGGTTCCAGAGACTGATCCCGGGGATGAAGGACTTGTCTTATGGGGAGTGGTTGAGTATTTTTAGATATTTTTACGCAATTAATATCATCTGTAGGCTGGGAATTCTGTCCAGCAAATTATAGTGTATTACAAATTTTCATGAGGGAATTTGCATAGGAACGCCACTACCACTTCTAAATTCTTCGCCATGTCACACGTCATCCTGACTTGGATGACATTGTCGTTCCTTATCACTGACTGTTAAAAACATTAATCTTTGTCCTGACATAAGTTTATTTGTTTGTAGCCTTTTTAAGTCCCTGACTGCAGTCCCCACTTGAATTCCTTCCCTTCAATTTTGATATTATCAGTGACTTGACAACTTTGCATGAAATTTCTCATTTGTTGATGGGTCTGTACTCAATGGAGTTTACAAGGATGAGGGGGAATCTCATTGAAACTTACAGAATACTGAGGAGTCTGGATAGAGTGGATGTGGAGAAGATGTTTCCTTTAGTAGGAGAGACTAAAACCTGAAGGTACAGCCTCAGAGTGAAAGGACTACCCTTTAGCACTGAGATGAGGAGGAATTTCTTCAGCCAGAAAATGGTGAATCTATGGAACTCACTGTCACAGAAGGCTGTGGAAGCCAAGTTACTGAGTGTATTTAAGACAGAGATAGCTAGGTTTTTGATTAGTAAGGGGATCAAAGGTTATGGAGAGAAGGCAGGAAAATGGGGGTGAGAAACTTAACAGCCATGAACAAATAGCAGAGCAGACTCGATGGGCTGAATGGCCTAATCCTATCCTTGTATCTTATGGGCCTATTATTTCTTTGGAATGTCTCCAAATGCTTCATAATGAATCAAGTGGTCACTGTGGTTACAAAGGCCAAAAGGGAACAAATCTGAGAAAGTTAATGTTGGGTGAAATCGAATAGTACTAACACTCTGATCATAGTAAGCATTTTCACTTCTTTAATAACGCCTATCTGCCCTCCTACCTCAGACTCTCTGATTCTGAAACCATTTTCCATAGCTTTATTCTGTTCTTTCTTTGCAATGGCTGTGGTTCCAGGTTAATTCTGTACCTCCATAATTGACGATTCCAACACTTTGCTGAATGGGCACCTGTGTTGCACACTTTGTAGACTTCTCTTCATCAAACTCAGTTGGCAGTCCTAACCCTGCACCAAGCCTTGCTCACCTATCCTTGTGTTCAAATCTCCCCATGGCCTTGTCCATCCTGTCTCTAACTTTTCCAACCTGACAACCGACACTCACTCTAAGCTGTACAGCCAGGTTCATTGGTGAGCAGCAACCCATAAGCGCAATGAAACAAACAGGTTGTACAAACTACTGGTCCTTTTAAGACGTGGGCAAGGCCAATGGCAGCAATCATGAAGGAAGTACCTAATGTAATAACCAGATGGAGAAACAAATGGATGGAACATCATCTACCATCCTCTAAGAACTTCACATGCCTTCATTTCTGGCTTGCTGCACACCACTGATGTTTTTCCCATCATAACCGTCCTTTCAGCTGGTAGGGAGTCACGTATCTCAATTGGTTGGACAGCTGGTTTGTGGTACAGAGTGATGTCCCCACACATTAGGCTCAATTACTGCACAGGTTAAGCTTACCGTGAAGGAATCTCCTTAACCTCTCCCCTCCCTAAGACTCTCAGCTTAAACCACCACCAGTAGTATCTCCCTAATGAGAGAGTCGTCTGGGACTATGGTGAATTCACCTTTATCAGCTAGTCCTAAGCTTCCTATCCATCTTTCTCTTTTAACACCCTCCTCAAAAACCATTTTGATCATGCTTTTATTCGTTAAAATGCAGCTCTAAATTTAGCTGGTGCTTCAGTGACGTTTCATTATATTAGACTATTATAAATGCAGAAAGGGAAATGCTTTAAAACGAAGTGGCTATGTGTTTTATTCCCCCCTTTGCTCTGGGACTGCACAGTCAGCGGACGTGCTGCTGATCTATTTTCAGGGTAGAGTAGCTGTTCTCTTCCAGAGCAAGGCTTGCAATCCGGGTTCAGGGCTGGATCTGCAGTTAGCTCTTTGCTTCATCCCTTTTCCTTGTACGTTGAGGGGTGGGCAGAACACGCTGCTGCCAATCATACAGGCTGCGCTCCACCGATTGCACTGGCAGTGTGTGTTTTAAACTCCTGAGACTTTTACGCTGCTCCGCTGATAGGATGCAGCGGGTAACGCTGTTCTTCGCGAGGCCTTTGCTCCGAAAGAGGGAGGCGTTCTGCAGCTGGAGACCGTGTGCAGCTATGTCCAGTCTGCTCATCCAGCAGCCCGACTATGCCTGGCTTAAGGAGCTGGGCCTGAAGGAGGAAAACCCCGGCGTTTTCAACGGGAGCTGGGGAGGGCGAGGAGAGGTGAGCAGCAGCAGAAGCAGAGAGAGAGCTCTCCCAGAGAGGCACTTGCTATATCACTGTGACACCGGCCCACTGCAAACAGGACTTCACCCTCTCCTCTTAACCAGCAAATTATGGGAGCAACGTTAGACTAATGTTCGGACTAATCTTTCTTTCTGACCTTTCTTCCCCTCCCCCCAGTTTCAGACTGTTATTCAATGCTTTTGACTTCTGAGCAGTGGGTAGTGTCGTTGTTGCTGCTTTAGTCGGACGCTGGTAAAATGAGAGTGTCCTGTCGTGTGCCTGGAATTTCACGCAACCCGACATAGATTGCAGTTTTCAATGGCCAAATTTGCCAACTCTCTTAAAGGATTAATTACGCAACTTCCTATCCAGCCAAAACCTGCACCCGTTTACAATGCTTTTATAACAAAAGGGCTGCAAGAACCTCAGAAAGTTGTTTTCAAAGTAGTCTGATGATTTTCATTCTGTGCTGTTTGCTGTAATGCATAGGAAAATTAATTTAATTCCTCCTACAGGCCATGTCTAATGTGTACAGTAGAGCTACCAAATCCAGAGTTTAAGTATTTAAGACAAGGTGCAGGGCTGCATGACCACAGCAGGCCAAGCAGCATCATAGGAGCAGAGAAGCTTTTTTTTTGACGTTTCGGGCCTAGACCCTTCAGCAGAAGAGGGGGAGGGGAAGGGGGTTCTGAAATAAATAGGGAGAGAGTGGGAGGCGGATAGAAGATGGATAGAGGAGAGGATAGGTGGAGAGGAAACAAACAGGTTGAAGAGGCGGGGATGGAGCCAGTAAAGGTGAGTGTAGGTAGGGAGTTAGGAAGGGGATAGGTCAGTCCAGGGAGGACGGACAGGTCAAGGGGGCGGGATGAGGTTGGTCGGTAGGAGATGGAGGTGCGGCTTGAGGTGGGAGGAGGGGATAGGTGG